GATAGGCATCACTGAGCCTGACTGTTAAATAGTCAATGGCTTCTAATTCAGAAGTCAAACAACAGAAAACAGCGTTATATTTACAAAATTAAAACCATCGAAACTAGTCCCGTGAAAATTTTGTAAATACGCTGATTTTTGTTGTTTGACTTCTGAATTAGTATTTATTCGGCGTGTTATTGTGTCTTAATTAGTCAATGGCTTCGTCAATGTCGTGTTTGTTCCAGTACCATTAGATTCCGGAAATTTCTTTGAGACTGGGATGTCAACGATAATAGGTTTATTTTTTGAAGCACGATCCTTGACAATTCTAAATAAACCGCGGTACACAGAAGTATTGCTCGAGCATCTAATAGCACAGCAATACTTCTGCTAATAGCTATCAAACCTAGATGATCGGGCATTCTGACAGTCTTCCATTTAATTAGTTCTTTATTAACTGTCAAGCAGTGTAATAACATTTTCTATCTTAAAACAAAAAGCAACAGTGTTAAATGTAATTGCTTAAGGATTTGCATAAAATCATTTGAGTTTAATGGTGAATGTAGTGAAAATATGTGTGCGAAGTATAAGCGTCTACTACAAAGATGGAAAACTTTAATGTACAGTAGAACTCCAATTATCCGAATCAACTGGGACCAGACCCCCATTCGGATAATTGGATTTTTTCCGAAGAAATGGTCTATACAATTTAATTAATTACTGTATGTACTGTGTGTTGATAATGGAAGAAAAAAAACTATTTTTAAATAAAAGGAAGTTAAATAAAATGAAAAGACAACACTTTTACGTACATGTTATATAGCGTACTGTGCATTACTTACGAGTGCTGAAAGTCATTACTTACTGAACATCTCGGGCAAAGTAAGCTGTTTGACTGTCTTCATCAGTTTCCGGGCAGCCAAGTCGCGCGTCCGCCTGACAATGAGAAGTTGCATGTGGTCGCACTCGGGCTGACGCTCCATCCACTTCAGCGCAGTTTCAAGGCCGGCAAACGCTTCGCTAGCAGATGGTCTCGTTTTTGCTTTAACTTCGACATTAAGATCATCTCCTTCCCCGACACTTTCTGCTCTCACACTTTCAGTAAATTCATCATTTAGAATTTGAAACCTAAGGTCAGACGAATTACACACCATCCATTCTGCTGTATCCTCAGCACTAACTTCTGAAAATCCAGGAATTTTTAAAAGAATGTTTCTTAACTCCTCAAGTAACACGTCATCTTCATCTTCTCCTGTATCTTCCCTTTTCTTTTCTTGAGCATCTTTTTACTTTTTCTCCTTTGCCTTCTCTTCTTCAGTTGATTCTGAAATTCTGAAAGTGATTCGATAATCGGAGTTTGGATAATTAGAGTTGTACTGTACCTGAAAGCGACAGTATAACAAACTAGGTTTTTCAAGACCCCATGTAGCTTTCAATACTTTTCTTACCAAGCAATATTTTCCCCTCAAAATCAGATATTTGTTGCCAGTTTCTACGTACAGTTTATGCTTAAAGACAAGACTTAGTTTTATTCAAAGATCAAAAGGGAAATTAAATAAGGTCACGGCTAATCATAATTTTGAAAAGCTGTCATGGTTATTTTTTAGTTAGCGGAGGAGTGGAGCTGCTTGAGTTAACACAACTTATTCTTAGGTTCTGTTTTCTGCGCATTTTGGATAGCAGCCGCTTCATGTTCATTAGTTCTTTTTGTTTATGATATACGTTAGTTTGAAATGATAAACTCGAGCAAACAGAAATGAAAAATGTTAACTGTTTTAAAATGAAACCTAAAGCTTTGAAAGGTATTGGTAATGGAGAACTTGTATGTTGAAATAATGACTTCAGAAAGAATTATGGTGAATGATTGTGGAGTTATTTTGCTTTAAAAATGTGATGAAATGAAAGCAAAACGCAAATGAAAATTTCTGATTTAGTTTTATTAGATAAATAAACACTTATTCGATATCTGTATATAAACAAATACACATTTTTAAAATCTGATTGGCTAATTATAAAGTTATTTTGCGCGTTCTTTTATATTACCAGTAATTCCTTTATCCAGCTTATGGTCTGATAAATCAGGTGCCTACTGTAACGCTTTTTCAATTACCTAATGTCATATAATATTTAATTATATCATATTTCTATGTCATTTTATTTGATCCACTAAATGATAGCCTTGATTCACAATCTTGCACCTCTTTCGTATTTTAAGGAAAAATATAAAGATTATAGAAGGGTAAGTTATTCTACAAGATAGCACAGCGAGAGTATTGACAAAGATAAGGATATTCAACAGTTTTTCAAATAAAAATTTCAGAATATTATCTTTTGAAAGGTGAATTTATTTTAAGAGTGTTGATAATTGTCTTAACAATAACAACTTTGACAATTGCGAAGATTGCTAACAGATACATTTTTTGACATAACTAACGATGAGCACTTCTTCAGGGAAATGTAATTGCCAAATCTACAGCAGTGCAACTGTTGTTTTCATTAAAAATTGAAATGATCCCTATATTTCGGCCAAGAAGAATAACAAGATAACTAAAACAAGAGATTTTATACAGCCCAATGGAATAATCGCAGAAATGCAGCCTTTCATATAAATTTCGGTTATATGGCTTACTCAAATTCCAGTACATGTCTATAAATATTTAGTATACTCTCCACAAGCATGTTCAAATGCACATACTGTCGGGATATTTTTTCATCCTCCTTCCGAGGTATTTTGATGTTCCTGTGCATTTTGCAAAAATAATATACACACATATACTGACAGCATCCATGAAATGTTCAACTAGATAGAAATTGAAGAATATGTACACCATGTCATGCAGATAATGTTGAGAGCCGACGCTTCCAATAAGGTATCGAAGCAGAAGAATTACATTAGCGTCTAGTTTCGCTGACATCTATATTTTCCATATTTATATATTGCTTTAAATGCCTATGTGCATATTATTTCACAACCACATGCAGGTATTGCAAGCTCAGCGTCTTTCTGTTGCTGTTTTAAGCTGGTAGATATAATATGGGTCATCGTACATACCTAACAAAGATAATTTTTAATGGTAATGTACAGACTTCATTGAATTTCTTTAAAAATGGTTCTATTATTACCATTAAAATTAAATTTAAGTTCTAAATCTAAAAAAAAAAAAGCTGTTGTACTGTAAAAAGTCAAATGCGGTGTAATGTGCTTGGTTTGTAAGTTCAAAGCTTTAGAAAAATTTTCACTTGCAAACAGATACGAAACAAGTCTTTAATACAAGTGCTTTATACGTCTAATAGTTTTGTGAATATCAAACTATAAGATGTATGCGTACTAAGTTAAAAGATTTTGAGACAGCATTTTTGATCCTTCGTGCTACTAGATGTGGAAATTCTGTACTGGGATTTGTGACGATGATATAGCGAAGTGTTCGAACTTGCAGTTAGATAATAATGATCTTCAACTGCGAATGGAAATACCTAGAATATTTTGTCGTGGGGCTTCTCTATTGTAGACCTTTGTGTAAACTTCGGGAACAGTCGCAGCAAAATACTTGAAATGTTACAGCATGCATATAACGATGAGACTTTTACCCATACTTCAGCATTTCAATGATACAAGCACTTCAAGAAGGCAACACTTCAGTGATCGACAAAGCACATTTCAGCAGGTTAACAATGATGGTTACAGATGCCATGACGACAAATAGTAGACATTGACTATTAAATAAACATCTTTTTTTTTTTTTTTTTTTAAACTTTTGCATTAAACTATGAGAAAGAAAGACCGGATTTACTCAAGAAACAGTGGTTTTACTCTAAGATAATGACCGACAACACGTTGCTTCTGTGGTATTGATAGTAACGTCTGAAATCAATCTGTCAACACTAGAACATCTGCTCACAACCTAGACTTATATGTTGTGATGCCTGAACATGCTTAACACTGAAAAGGCAATTATGCGGAAATAGGTTTCAGAAAAGGAAGTTATAAAATCACGTCCACAGTGCCAAAGATGTCACAAAGTAGCTTCATGTTTTTGGATTGCTTATAAAATTTTGTGGAAAGTACAATTCAGGATGAAGAACTAAAATTTAGAAAAATAAAACAATAAAAGGCCTTTACAGTCCTTTAATTCTGAATAAGACAAGGTTTCAAACTTTTCAGTTAACTTGGGGCCATTTATTTCAAACATCAATAACAGAATTTAGGTCATAGAATGCAGGAAGAAGATTATAGTCAAGCTACAAGTTGTACCCGTAAAGAAACTTAACTAAATCTGAACTAAAACTTTTCTGTAAACAGGCCTCCAGACGAGAAAGTAGTTAGTGCCTCTGACTGCCGTATTGAAGGGCCTGGGTTCGAATCCCGGTGGCACGGATGTAAGTTGTCTGTCCCTTCATACGAGCTAACGACGGCTGCCTATTAGATGTCTTCATAATAAAATAACCACCGCTTCTGGCCTTATTAGTGGCTAAAGCTTAAAATAGCTAGGGTCAACCATAAAGGGAACCTTTCTGTAAACAGAATTTTTTCTTCTTTTTTTGAGGAAAGAAGTAAGTTGCTTTATGAAATGATAAAAGCAATTTAAGTACATTACAGGTTAATTAGCATTTACTTAAATTATGTTAGATCCATAATTTGTTAAGGGCTCTGGGCCTACTGCAAGTTTATACTTTATGCTATGATATATTTCACTTATTTGCATAGTAAATTAAATATTTTTCAGTGGACTAATCTTTCTTATCACTAGAAAACAATGTTTCAGTGTATGTAAGTGGGAAAATTTTAGAGGTTATCTTATTAATTTGAATAAAATGAACACTACAAAAACTTAATTACATGTTTTCTTGAGATGTTCAGTAATTTGTCAGCTGACCAGTCTTTCCTATGCAACTTTTAATAAGTTTTTAAGTGTTTATTTACTTGCATGCAAAAATACTAGCAACTGCTTGATTTCAGTGCATTGTGTAAACACTTGTGTTATTATTCCTTTTAAAGTTATGTAAAGAAAAGACATTAATCACTTATATCTACAGGAGTTTTATTCAAATATATGATATCAACACATAAATACATGATTATGGCACAATGATCTCTCTATGCTGTACAAAAATATTCACATGTACAGAGTTTCCATAAGATTGAAATAATATTTTTGTTACATTTTAGTGAATATTGCATAGCTGCGTTTAGTTTTATTACATATCTTGAAAGTATAAAAAAGGATATTAAACATCTCTTTTTTTTTTCAACTTCTTAGTAAAAAAAAAAACTTAAATCATATGACATCAATGTTTTCTTATGGAAACATTACAAATAAAATCTAAAATCTGTATCTATCAGTTGTTACTAATTTTCTTTAAACAGTTAAATTAAAATATTAATAATACAGAATATATCTCTAGCTGACTGACTGCTTTTAAGCCCCCTTTGGTTATATAAAAAAGTCTATATATAGCAATATTTGATTTCTAACCATTATTAGTAACAACTGACAGGCTTAGTATAAATTGTAATATGTTCATGTATATATATACAGTATTCATTTGTATATATATATATTCTCTTTGAGAATGAACCATAAATGTTACTCATTTTTTATTTACTAAAAATACTTATTAATCTTCACTTGAAATTTTGTTCAAAAACTAATTTCATGTTTCATTACTGCAAAAGATATGCTTAAATGGCAAAAGTATTGCCTTTTGGAATAACAGTATCACATTAGCAGGATATTGATCTAAATGTAATGAGAATTTTCTAAAATGGATAATTTAACCAGACATTCTCAATCTTTTCCCCCCCTCTCCTATCCCAAACCTGAAAAATGCATACACATTTATTTCAATTTAGATTACCTTTTTAAAATGTTTTTATAAATTAAACAACAAAAAGGTATAGAAAAGATTGATAAATATCAAAACTGAAATATAAGTAGTTTTTTTTTAATATATTCATTAATTATAACTAAATAGTTATAGGTAAATAAAAAGCTCACTACATCCCCTCTCCTGAAATTATGAAATGAGGGTGAGAAGCTCCCGTTTGAGAGCTCCTGCTTTCACTGCTGTTGGTTCAATGAAATTGACAAATTAGTTTTCTTCACATGACAAATACTCCACTGCTTTACATTTGGTCATATTATAAAACTGGTAATAGAGAATTAAGTTTATTGCTAGATGTTTTGTTACTGGTGAACATCACAATTAAAAATGACTTCATATTATAAAGTCAAATGTTATGTCATATAATAATATATCATGTGCATAGGAAACTTTTTATCACATTTACATTGCATAAATTTAACAGTCCCAGTTTCTCAAAAATGCTGATAATTTTTATTTGTGCTGACTAATGCTTTACACAAATGGGAGAACTTCTTGAAAGAATACAATAGGGATGCCCAGTTCTTCAAGTTACATTATGAATAACTTTTCATCATTCCTTAAATTTAGTTCTAATTCAACTTTTGATTAGAATACTAAATATTACAACTAGACAAGAATAATTTCTTCTGTATTTATATGAGCATACTGTCAAAATTTTAACATACCTTAACCATACAGTCAAGATTTACTTAAATATGAAACATAAAATCATTATCAACTGTGAATTTTCAAGTCACTTTTGGGATTTCTTCATAAACTACTATGCCAAAATTTTACCTGAAATACTAATGGAATGACTTACTGCAAAATAAATGATACTAAGATGCAACATTACATTTTCAAATGATTGCATAGACTTTTTTATTACACTGGGCAGCATAAATTAGTTGAATACCCCTCACAGAATTTTCTTTATTATGAAGGATGAGTTTGTCTTGGTTAATTAATATATTAATAGCATGAAATTAATGTTGCTTACATAAAGCATGCTTAATACATTTCAGGAAAACAGCAGCCACATGGATTAGTTTTTAAGATGGTTCTCTTCTAATGTACAAGTGAACTTCTTTGTTAAATATTTTTGAGTTCATTTACATATATATACATATAATATTTAATTAAGAAAACATTTCTCTGAATAAACATTATTGACAAATAAAGAAAGTTGCAAAATTGGTCCTCAGAGTAAGTGCTATTGCAATACATATCAAAAGAGAAGGAAATATATTTTTCATTAGAAAAATCAAAATACTGATAAAAAAATTAATTTAAGCATTTTAAATAAATTACTATGTGGAAGAACTCCAGTTTCGACCATTTATTAGATATGTCAAGAACTTATTTAGTTATAAGGTTCAGAATATTGATTTCATGTAGAAGCGATCATTAATCCATATTACAGTACAATGTGCATGACTTAAGACAATTAAGTATTTACAGTCCAACAGATAAATTCAGAGAGCGAAAAATAGACTTTCCCGTCGTTGGCTGTGCTGCTGACAGTCACTGTTCAACGGCTCAGAAAAGTTTTTCGTATAGTGTCGCCATCTATTGTTACACTTGAGCAACAACTTCAACATGGTTGTTCGATGTGGCGACAGAGGGCGTTGATCGAACTGTGTTTTGCGTCGCAGCCGAGGAGACGACCGTTAAGGAAGAAATGACATCACTGGGAAGGTGATGTGAGCTTGATGTAGAAGGATTATTGATCAATTCCACATCCTCCGGCCCTACTGGACTGGGTTGACCCGCAGAGCTTGGTCTGGAACGGTAACTAGGAGGTCTGCTGTAATCCGAGATCCCAATGTTCACTGGGAATCTAAAAATAAAAGAAAAGTGCATTTTAAAATAATATCGCTAGAAAGGGAGGGGGAAATCTGATTATGTGGTACAACTGCACATCGATTACTAAACAACGACTGAGTGCAAAGTTAATTTCCAGGATTTTATTCAAAACTAAAAAACTGGTCTAAATCCGACCAGACACTTCTGCATTCGATTCATACTTTGCACGTGTTGCTAAAGTACGCCAATAAATATACCCAATAAATCAAAAAATTCTTCAAACTTCATATTTCTTCAAAGTACTTAACATTTCAGCACAAAAATATAGTAACGAAATAGTGATTGTCTTAATCCTACTCTTTCGAAGTCATATACGAAATTTTGTTTTAAATTAGCGAATTGAAACATATGACAAAGGTATACATATAAGAAAAATTAAAATAATAATAACATATATATATATATATTACATATATGAAAGAAAATATATGCACATTTTTTCCCTTTCAGAGAAGGGACATACAGACTTTCTTTTTTTAAAATAAGGTATGGTTACAAATAAAACAAATTCTAACTTTTGTTTAAATATATATATATATATAGTTCTTATCTTTACACTGCATAATGAAGAAGTAAGATCGATGCTATATACCCGGTAAGATGCAATACGACAGGAGTGGCTAAATATCGTGTTTATACAAATGAATTCTCAAAATATTTGCTTCTAGTTACAAATCGTTTTAGAAACGTAATGCCTGAACAATTAACTATAAAAATTGATCATAATATACAAGTGACTTTCATTGTTAAATGTTTTTGTGTTCATATACTCACAGAAACATTGTATTTCCCTATGCAATTTTCATAAATAAACCTTCTTGTGTGTAAACATAATTATCTATAAATATATAATATTGTTTTTGCTATTAATTTTTGGAATCTAAGACTTTTAAAAGCAAACAAAATTATCCCGAGAAAACAATTCAGATTGCTGTAAATTTTGAATAAAATTTTGTCGATTTCCACAGCGATCAGACGTAGGTTCTTTTCTTAATGAATTAAAAAAAATGAGATTAAATTTCTGGTCGCCTTCCATATCTATGCCAGTCTAAGGTTGCTTTGCTGCTTAATTTTTAAATTTCACATTGGCATGTTACTCTTTCATTTAAACAAGAATAAAATTTTCTTTAATAACTTCATAAATATATTCTAACGACTTTTTTTTTGGGGGGGGGGAGAAATAATTTTGTAGGAAAGTTCATGCTAAGAAAAATAATATAAAAATGGGCAAATACGTTTAAAAATGCTTTACTGTTCTTCAAAGAAAAGAATCTATTTGCAACGACAGGAAGAACTGCTCTTCAAAACTTCGTATTTTTTTTTTTTTTTTCACTTTTTTTCATATATAATTGTTCCTTTTACAGAGTGTTTTCGAATATTGCTTAGCTTAAAACGCACATTTATTTGAAGTTTACATTCATTAAACATCTGAAACGCCAAATATGAAATTTTGACACATTTAAACTTATATCGCAGCATTAAATGACCTTAACATATTCCTTCATGTAAACATTATCTCATAAAATAACATTTTTTGAATCATTTCTCCTGAAAAATAAATTCGTAAATAAGACACTGGATTGTTAAATTTAGTTCAAGGGTATGTAAAAAAGGCTGTTTTGAAAATTTTCTGTTGATGGGAGTGTTATTTTGTTTAAAAGAAAATTTCTATTTTGTAACAGCATAAAATTATTAAAATAAAAATTCACTGTCAGAAATAAATCAGAAAACGAAGCACTGTTACGCTTATTTTTACGCAAATTAAATAAAAATTTCATATTGTAAATTAACATCCATTAAAAATGACAAACTTCAGTGACAAACAAAATTTAAAAACTGCGCAGAATTTTACTCTGCTGAACAACTTCATAAAAAAAAAAAAAAAAAAAAAAAGAATAACTGAAAGGTTTTAGATCTTAAATTATGTCCAAAGAGGCGTTTTTTTAACATTTTGTCTGTTGTCTTTATTTATTAAATACAACTTTATCAAAAAATCAGTAAAAATGTATTATATATATATAAAAAATGACAATGAAATATGCCAATCTCTTAAAGCAGTGACATAAGAAATACGATGAAAAATTGTTGCCAAACCCATATTTCTAAAAAGAATGAAACGATTCAAAATGATGCGATTTCATCAAAAATCTATCAACAACAATAAGGAAGGAAAATTGTTGCCAAAATCACATTTTTAAGGAAGCTTCATTCAAAAAATTTTTAAAAAATACAAAATATTATCATTTTTCCAAAATTCTTTTTGTAAAAGAAGTCGCAAGGATGAAAGTTTAACGTGTCCAAAAATCAAAGAAAAATAAACTGTTCATTTTTAAAAATAAACTTTAAAAAAAAAAAAAAAAAAAAAAAAAAAAAAATTCCTGTTGAAAAGGTGTTAAGCTCACTTTGTTAAATAAATTCGTATTTAATCGATTTATTGAAACACGAAATTTATTTTAAGTTCGTAAAATAGCTAAGTGCCTACGTTTCCTGACGATGTGAAAATGGAGTGTGTAGAGTAAAATCTCACTTTGTTATAGCCCATTATGTCTCAAAATGACACGATTTTGTCACAAAACATAAAATAAAAAATTCGAATTCGAATTTCGAAAAAATCGCTCGCTTCGAGGTGCACTGGCTCTTATCTAGATGCACCTATGTACCAAATTTCGTAGCCGTGGGCCTATTAGCTTACGCGCAGCGCGAACGAAAGACCCACACACAGACAGACTCTTTTTATCATTATATGTAGAGATGAATACATATCTTCATGTGCATTAATATATTTTAAAGTCTCAATAAAAGGTTGTTAGTTAAAATACAAATCTCATGTTCTAGCGTTCAAATTAATCACACTGCTTAATGTTGGAGGGGAAGGAATGAGTTTAATAGTGTTCATCTGACGTATTTAGAATTAAATACAATAGAACTTAATCTATTGTTTCGCAATAATCCTTTTCCCCACGGCAAATTTTGAAACCCTGGCTGATTTTTGTGGTACCCAAAAATTTAAGGCTTTTTTTCGCTTTCATTTTTTTATTTTATGTCATTTTTACAATTTGCGGTGCCACTGAAAGTTAGTACTATTCCCCCTCTATTCTGCTATACTTCAAGAATTAAACATCCATACTTATCATAAAACCAGACTTTTTTACCGCTATTTTTAACAGATTCAAGATTTTTAGTTTTTCGTTAATGGGCAAAACATATCACGATTTCTCTTTCTCTTAAGCTTACACTCACTGGTAACATCACGACGGGTGCAGAAAGGAATGAAACGAGATGTGTCTAAATGCACGAAAGGGGCAGTCAGAAACTTTGATCGCTCATAATGACCATTGTAGTCCTCTGTTGATATTTTTAAAGCCATCAGAGATATGAGAACTCAGTAAAGTATGATTCTGAGGAGCGATCTGTATTGAGAATGTGTAATATCTTAATATTTGCCACTCCGAAATTTATCACTTTCATCTCCCTCCCATTTAACTGCATCCGTTCAGAAAGATACGCACGTGGTGGAGGAAGGCAAGAAATCCGGTTCACATCAGCATGATGCACGTTCTCATTCTCATGATTACCCTGGGAATTTAGAATATATTCGCTTGTTTAAGTGGCTGTATTTTACAGTTTCAAAATATAACAAAATTTGTAGAGACATTAGGATTTTTGATACTGAGAGACGTGAAAAATGAGCAATGCCCTCGCCGGGACTCGAACAACGGGACGGGCCTCTCGAATACGCGCGAAGTGTGCTGACCTGTACACCACGAAGGCGTGCTAAGAAGACGGGAGAAATACATTATAATTTTACTTCATTATTACTCTATTAACAAAAGGCTCGTTGCTACAACGAATTCGCCAAACTCTAGTTGAAACAGTGCTGTATTAAGGCTAACAAGAACCTATAAAAGCTCTGATTTTAGCAAATGCCTCTCGATATCGATGTTTGATTGTTCATACAGCGTAAGATATATGCAAACCAAACCTTCTCAAAAGTTCTTTTACGTATGTTCCTTTATAACACGTCCCACCAGCGGCCGAACTGTAAAATCGCTGAACACTGGTAGTTCAGACCTGGATTCGAATCCAGGTGAACGGGCTAGCTGCATGGGCGTTTTCATGGTTTTTCCCATGTGTAACGTGTTTACGATCTAGTTCCCTAGTAAAGTCCTCCAAGAAGGCATCCCCTTAGCCCTAGAGTGCTCCGCCATAATAAACTAAACCATGTTTGCCCGTAATGTACCATGAAACCATGTACCTCGCTTTCTAATACTATATTTTAAAGATATCTGTAAATAATGCTCAATAATGGATTCACCATGTTATTTCAAACATAATTTATTGATTACAAAATTGTTATTTTCCCTTCCTTCCACGGAAACAGAGAAAACACAAACATTTAGATTTGATATAACGCGATTAATACAAAACAATGAAGACTTATTCAAACCATGCAAATATATTCGTTTAATGCTCATTCCTCATTAAAGCTATTCATGAAATTCAGTTAACTTCAAAATCACGAAAAAATCGGCCTTTACAAGTGCGGTAAATAGGGACATTTTCTAAAACAAACATTTGAATATCTTTAAAGGTAATTTTATAACATGATCACTTTCAAAATGATTTCTATGAAAAAATTCGAATGCATACGATGCTCCGAAATGACATGATGCTCCTAATTTTCATCTTAATTATATTTTCTATAAGTAAACGTGCTTCTAGTTTTAACATTTTTTATAGGTATTGTCTGCTTACTATTTCGTACTTAGTAATTTAGTTAATGAATGTGAAACTATCTTCCTACGATTTAATTCCTTATAAAAACATGAGTCCAAAACTGTATGCTATGGCGTTACAGACATTCCCATATGTTGAAAATTGCGTTCACTCAGGGCACATATTTAAAATGAAAAAGAATTTAGCACTGTAAAGTTATATTAAACAATTAGAAAGCTGACAATATTCAAATCAGTACAAGATACATTAGAATTACTTTTGTGTTCCCCCAAAATCAAAACGGCACTTTATTTCTTCTCTCAGCGTGTTACCTGTATATGAATAATAATTTCATTAGTGTGCATTATAAAACGAAGAATTTAATTTCCTACCTAGGATACACAGTCGCTGGTCCTCTATACATGGGAGGAGGAGGTGGTGGTTGAGGAGGCGGTGGATGCGTAGCAGGAGGTGTCTGTCTGTCCATTAACAAAAGACGCAGTCGGTACTCTTGCATCGAAGCCTGGTATGAAGGAGGTGGTGGTCGAAGCGTTATATCCGGATAAAGCATTGCTGTTAAAAAAATATATACTAAAGTTAAGCATCTAATGTTCCACAGTGTCTGACACAATTTAAAAATTATCAGGGAATAGCATTTAATTATTGCAATAATTAAAAAATACAAAAACATTATTTTGTAATAAAATCGTCATTAGTTTCAGACGCAGCTTTAATTTCATCACAAATGTTACTAGTTAACTAGCCTGTTTATGAAACTGAGTATAAAAACGATAATTAAGCGATGATTGCGAAAAGAACAGTCGTCTCTCGTAAGTTTTCAAATGGCATTTGATTGAGCTATTTGAATGCCACTAGCTTGTATCACTAGATTTATAATAAAATATTCTAAAATTAGCAACCTCTTCCAACTTAGGAATTAATCACAATAATGAGTAACCCTTTAATAGTATAAAGGACGCTTCTTCTTGTATTTCCTCATAATGAATAGCATGATTTTGATTTTAAAAAATTTATTTAACTTAATAATTTTATGAAATCATTGGGTTATATCGATGCTGGAAACTGAAAAATGTGTAATGCCTTCGCCGGAATCCGAACTCTGAATATCCCAAATATGCATCAAGCGCACTTCTAGTTACACCAAGAAGGCAGGCGGAAAGGAGGGAGAAAATGCAATTTTTAAACTGTTTTATTTATAGAGGTAAACATATGTAGTAAAACGAAGTGCAGTTTTTCTTGCGCTCTGTTTGCAAAGCTCTTACAGAAGCAGTTTGTTAAAACTCTACACGGAACATGGAATGAAAGTAAATCTTAAGACAACTCTTATGACGTTAGAAAGCTTTGAAAATCCGATCTCTGAGAAACAATTATATTTCTAAGACAGCCTTTTAAAGTTCACCTTTCCTGTGATGATGACCTGAGATCCATTCCATTCTTAAGACAAAGCTAGAATAAATACAGAACCTTTTTACAGAACGAAATTTCGAACAACCATTTAATATTTTCCGATACATCTTATTCAGAAATAATAACAAATGATAAAATTGTTGTATATCATTTGAAATATGTTAATAAACTCGGAAAACAAAGCGAAAATGAATAAAGTTCGTTAGGCGCAAAATCAATCTAAAACTAAATGAGCACAAGACATAAAATTATACTCAATGGAAAAGCAGAGCAAATCAGATATGGATTTTATTCAGTGATGAATGAAGAAAGGCAGTTCTTTATTATATCCGCTTATTCTTTACGATAAGAAAGGTCCTAAAAGAGAAAAATCTGCCATTTTCAAATAGCTCTTTATTTTTAAATAAAAGCTCACGTCTAATTAAAAATCGATATATTTATCCAGAAAAATACGTTAATTTATGTGATCCACGTGGCTTAATGGACAAGGCGTCTAACTTCGAATCAGAAGACTGTAGGTTCGAGTCCTGTGGCTCATTATGAATTTAAATTAAAGCGAAAAATATGAAAAGCATTTATTGCATTATCTAACATGACATCAACGTCTCTTCAAATTTTGATTCATAGCATACCTTTATAAGGTATTTTCTCCCTCCTTCCGCATGCCTTCGTGGTGTAACTGGAAGCAAATTCGACGCATATTCGGGAGGTCCGGCGCTCGAATCCCGACGAAGGCATTTCACGTTTTCTGCATAAAAAAAAAAAAAAAAAAAAAAACTAACGGCTCTACAAGTGGCGCCCGAAATAAAAGGTGGCGGACGGTAATTCGTCATCACCAGTATTTGACAATTGGGTCCCACTATCTCCAGTCACCCTTTATGACTGAAGATACATAATGTATTTTCTCCCTTTTCCACCTGCCTTTAGAACACATTCGACGAGTATTCCGGAGGTCCGGCGATCCAATTCCGATGACGGTATTGTACATTTTTCACGTTCCAGCATAAAAACCTAATGACTGTACACAAGTTCGTTTCACGACAAGATAGTGATTATTGAGCAGTTCACACCAAGACAAATGAAGTGTTAACTCCTATAGTAAGTAACTAAAAGGCAATAATAACTAGGCTTATTCATTTCATTCATCAATAGTTAGTTTTTGGTTAAATTTCATCTTAAACAGAACTCAGAAGTAAACTTAAATTTAGATACATAGCGAACACACAAGACTGTTAATAACACAAACATAATATAAAATAAATAATAACCAACATAGGCAAAAATATAAATAATAGAAAACTAAAGTCAATTCCTAACCACAACTTATATAAAACTATACAAACTAGAATTTACTTCAGATTCTGCAAAAGCTGCAAGTCTTATCAATTAATTTCCTTCTACAGAACGATCCACTTCTTTACAGAGACATCTATTAGTTATTACCACCTTAGCTCAGCTTTACAGAGACATCTATTATTTATTACCAGCTTAGCTTAGAATAAAGTAATAAAACTCGTAAACCGTTATTTTGTATCTACAATTACATTTCACTTACAAATCCCAATTTAAAGCGATGTTTAGATCAAAAGGCCACAAACAAATTCTCAGAAATGTTAAGCAAACAAATTATTAGCTGATAGCATTTTTAAATCAGCATTTAACAATAACATGATTCATGATTTTTGTTTCCTCTTACATTAACTGGCATCTTCCGGATAGAATGAGAAATTTTTGATAACCGAAGACAGAAAAAAGCGACTAAAAATTGTTAATCAGTGAATATAAATCTTCTTAAAACCTTGAAGATTAATTTGCAATAGAGTTGCTGATTTACCGAAAACCATCAAAAAGAAATTTGGCAAAATAATAAAATGAAGAGCTTATTTGAGCGCTGCAATGCGCTTTTAGCAAATTCAAGATAAGAAATGAGGTTGTAGTGAAATATTACCTAATATACTAACTGCTTTAAAACAGGCATTTTGGAATTCATTTCCAAGATAAGATTCTGATTAAAATTGCATTTTTGGTCCGCTGTGGTGAAAAGCACTTCCCCCCTCCTTCCTTTCCGTAATGACTCAAGCAATCAAGCATTTTCTGCTCAGCATTTAAGAGCGAACCTAATAATAAGATACTAATTCATCACCTTCCACAAGAATTCCAATTTGCGCCATCATTAGCACAGTTTAATACTTTTAAAATATCAGAATTAATTAAAAAAGCAATTAACTTCAACTCTGGTGGAAATACGTGCAAGCTCACTTCATTCCAATTATTCGTGAAGTGCTTTTTGTGATATGGCTTTGCATTTTAGGCAGATTAATTTTTCCTTTGTATTCTATCAGATTTTGCACTTTTGTTAAGGCATCAAATCTAAAGCCGACTTTTTAAAATAATAACATCGAACATATATGTATTTTTTACCTTATCTATTATCGTTATTCAACATGCATACGATGTATTTGTAGAACGACGTTATATTAATTTTCTCAGAGCTATCTGTGCAGTTAAGGGAATGACGTTATATTAATTTTCTCAGAGCTATCTGAGCAATTAACGGAGAAGCGTGATACAGTTTTCAAATGGTTATGTACATCATACAGCAGTGGGGAAGAGAATACATAGCAAAGCAATGAGCTTGATTCTTCTAGCTCCACCGCATTGCTATGAAAACGATTCTTCATGTGCATGAGACGGAAGGAAACACACTTACCACTAAAAGGATGCGGCCTTCCGTAATGAGGCACCCTGGGAACAAACCTCCTATGGGGTTCATGTCTCGCCCTCCTCAGACCGAACATAGCTCTGCAAGAGGGAGACTCTCTAGATGTGAGACGCCATGCCACGCCACTCATCGATACTAGTACGATGCCTAGACCTGAAAAGCAAATTAACATGATTGATTTCATTTATGGGTATATTATTATTTATTATACACAGTTTCATTATATGCATTAGCTCAACTTCAGTGAAGGAGGAAACTCAATTTTCGTACAATAGAAGTGTAACATTCTCGTCAATAATTCAGATTACTAGATATCTTTTTTTTTCCCCGATATGAAATTTCAACTGGTTACATATTAAACAGATAACCTGAAATACATCAGAAAGTTGACGTATTTTCTCCCTCCTTATTACGTGCTTTCGTGGTGTTTGGAAAGCACGTCCGGCTATCATCGTAACATCCGAAGTTCGAATCCCGAGGAGGTCATTGCGGATTTATCACGTTTTCTGTCTCAGAATTCTAGATAATTTTACAAGTGGCGCCCGAACTAAAAAAAATGTATGGACGATAATTTGTTACCACCAGGTTTTTGCGATTGGGTTCCCACTTCCCCAATACCCCTTTAAGTGGGGAAGAGTGTAAAATATTTTCTCCCTCTTTACCGCGTGCCTTCATGGTGTAATTAGCATGCAAAGGTACGGTGTTCGAATCCCAGCGAGGAACATTTGTCACATCTCCCACTCCGACGTAAACCTAATGATTTTACACATTTAGTGAAAATAGTACCTACATGTGCTCAAGTTTTTACATGTTATCAATAGAAAGAAATAAAATTTTCGTTAGCTACCATAAATTCTGAAGATAATATATATTTATAGAATAGGTATGATATATATACAGAATAAGTATGAAGAAGTGTGTGTGTATGCAAAATAGGTATGAATAAGTGTGTGTGTGTGTATAGTATATACAAAATAGGTATGAATAGGTGTGTGTGTATATATGGTCGATAGGTACGATATAAAACAAAAAAGTGAAAACAACTCTGAATTTCTGTGCATAAATAATAGTTCATTCTTTAAATTACAAAATGAATTATGCTTTATATTCCAATTTTCTTTATCTCCATTCTCTTCCTATTACAGTTTAACAGAACAAAATCTGTTGGTAATCCCCATTTGACAATCGTCACAAATGTGTCATTGCTGCATGAAATAGAACCCACCCAAAGCATTCGACGCAATTTTCAACATTGCATTATCTGGCGAACAACAGACGAATTTTAAACAATGGATAGAAAGTGAGATGTGGGGATTTCGTATGAGCTCTTTTGTTTGTGGCGAGGGGGATTACAACGCCCTCGCGAATCAAATATAGACACAAAAGACCACAACATGTGTTGCGCAACCTTCACGGCAACCGTAACGGATCGATGGTGGTGAGAAGGGAAATGATTATACAACTTCAGCTCAAAAAGAAAACCACCAGTCACGTAATTTGAACGGTCTGGTACAGGATTCAAAAGGGTTGGATCTGCTTTTGTTTAGTAATCCAATGTTTCTTCCCACGATCGACGCATAATCGGGATTGAAGCATCGAGAATAACTATTCAAGAAATAAATTAGTTGCTGAATTTCCGGAAATATCTCTTACGACTATTCTACAAATTTGCTCATTCCAAATATTAATCAGCTATTCTTTCTTTGTTGCTTTCCTGTTTGTTTGCTTCTCTTTTAGTATTTCAGGAATGATATTCCGTATATTTCTGAGCTCATGTATTCTCATATGAAAAACTTTCAAAATGTCTTCACTCAATTTACATTTGTGCACAACGGACCCCCTTTTTTGTCTGTTTATGTTTTTATTACAACTTTAAACAATTTATTTTTATCATTTCAGTCGTGTGATCGAATTAAACTCTTTGCATAAAATACAAAAAAGCAATAAAATCAAGATACATCATACAGTTTGATATCATCAGAAGACAAAGAACATTAAATTATATGAAAAAACAAAACCATTTTTAACGATGCAGCAAATTTTAATATATGTTACATACATTACATATCATGAAAATATCCAAAAGGAACCAGGGAGTATACTGAAGACTACAATACTCTAAGAAGATCAATTTCATATAGAACATACCAGTTATATTTCTGCTTACTAGAAATTTAATTGAGGGATGTCATCTTCGAAGTAAACTTATATCCTAAGCAAGATTGGGAAACTTGTGATGAGAAAGGTTATAATTAATTCGTCCTTATATTGTAAAGAAATTCGCAGTTTTCAAGCTTTTTCACTTTTTCGATTGGACGATGCTGAATCATGTCAGTATAACTCAGTTTAATAAAGAATTCAAGCGTTTATTAAAATTCCGTTGTTCAGTTTATTAGAACCAGAGTTGTTAAAGAAATATACTTAAAGATTATACATATCTCTGTCCAAAAGGTTAGGCACAAAAATAAATAAATAAGTGAAAAAAATAAAATAAAATAAAGAAAGAAGAAAACAACCGAGCAGGATTTCAAACCTGCAATGTAAAGTAGGATATAATATTTAGGATAATACATTCCATCTCGCAATAAACTGTCATTAAAATTTAAAGAACATAATCACGAATATGCAGTTTCAAATTTCAAACCTTATGGATTTCATGAAATATGTATCGTCTCCATCTACCGTTAGACGTTCCGATTTGGTATCACAAACTCCAGCACGACTTTTGGTAAACAAGTACTTTAATATTGCCAGTAAACAACATCTACTCTAAGCAATAAATAAGCAAGTTTTAAATTACATAGCAAAAATCGGCAAAGAGATACGCGCACTTACTTCGAAATAACGCGCTATCAAGATTTTTACATCGTGATTTTCCAAAACGAAATACGGAAGTGAGGGTAAGTAGTTATAATTTCTTGTTATATATCTTGGAACATCAAGGATAACAGAGCTTCACGCAATGGCTGCAGATGTGAAACTTATTTGTAACAAACGTGCTTTCAATTCAGCCTTAGGTGAAGAATCTTTAACGAAACTCTCTACCATTGTCCATATTAATGGTAACGAAGGCAAAGTCGTGGAAAAAAGTGCCGTTTGTCGAAACTGCTTTATGCTATTACATCGCTTCACGTTTTCTTTCCTCGGCGAAGCAGTTCTTTGACAGCCTTGTATAATAAAATGTACTTTAAAATAGACAATGCACATTAAGTAGCAGCCCACGCTGTTTGCCGCAGCATATGAATTGTAGCTATCACTTTATTCCATCTAAGCTAATTCCAGAATTTTTATAGCCCATTCTTGAAATTACATATAGCTCCTTTTTCTCAGGGAGGAAGGAAGAGGTGAGTGAAAGCCCCTAACATATTCGAAGTCAGTCTATGTTTTGCAGTTTATTTAAATTTGTTTTCTTAATTCAGTTTATTGAACCATCAAGCAACGTGTAATAGTTCAGCACCGCTTATAATTCTATATCATTCTTTTCTATTTTTAATTCTATGTAAAATTTTTATATCTACTATGTGATGGCAGTTTCAGTCACAGAGATTTTCTAGGAAACGAGTTCATCGTTCAGGAAGGAACCAGTTCTCTCTGATGAATCGCATTCTAGAATCCTCTATGGTAGAAAAATCCTACAATGGACTAGGTTTATTAGCTTACGGTATAGCACTCTGGAGCAGAGTTCCTCAAACTTAGGTACTACATGCAACAATAATGGTACATTACATTATTTTTATGGTACATTATTTACGCAGAAGATTTTTATGAATGTTCAAGAGGAATGTAAAATCGTGCTAATTCCAACCGGAACATACTTTTATGATGGTACATATATTTTTTATTCTTATTTATAAGATACAAAATTTAAAATGTTTGAGAATTGCATTTGAGCTTTCTGCCGAAGACAAAGGAACTCGTGGAAGATTTTCTACGAAAAAATGGCTTTGTACGTCACACGTAAGACAAACACAAAAATTCTCAGGCTACCAGCTCGTTCAAAGGGATTTGAATCTAGGCTGAAGTATCAGTGGTCTTATCCGCTCGACTGCTAGTGGGCCTTTCCAGAGGAGCAAGTTCTGCCAGTTTTTTTTTTTTTTTTTTTTTTTTTTTTTTTTTTTGTAAAAAGTTAGAACTATTTTGTTATATTTTGACAAATATAGATTCTAAAAATACAGCATTTATTTGCTCATATGCTTGTAATGCTATGTACTTTCTTAACTTACACAACACTTTTAATCGAACAGACAGTCAGCTTAAAAATTAAAGCTTCTTTACTTGCGCTAAATGAAATCCTTATGCTTACAAAATTTGTTCAAGTGCACAGTGAAGTAATAAAAGATATTTTTACGGTGAAGTAAAGGAATAATTATCCATTTACGATACGGTAGTAATATAAGAAGCTGCCATGTTATACAACAGCAGTTTTGCATAGTCGCTAACATCTCGTTCACATTAAATTTTACTCAAGATACCATTAAAAAATTCCAATGAAGTGAAAATTAATGAAATAATTATTTTAGCAAGGACTAATTAGAAGTAAATCTTCTGATAACTACAGACAAGAAGTCTTTCCCCCACCCTCTTAGCCAATCGAACTCATTTCTCCTTCAAAGAACCAAACGACTGAAAGAAGTTTAAAATTCAATTCAATTTCTTCTAGTTTCTTATTGAAAGCTGGACAGAGATTTACTGCAGCTGTAAAATTTCTAACACAGTGAGCACGCGAAACTGATAAAGAGTAGAAAACTCCTCCGTTCTAGTGAAGTAAAAGATGAATACAGAAAGAAGGGGAGGGGTTGTTACAAGAAAGAGGGAAGAAGCGGAAAACAAAGAGCACTTTTATTTGCGAAAGAAAGGATTAATTGGACAAGAACAATGGGACAAGGCGGCAGTTGTTATACCCATTTTAAACGGAACAACTTCGAAGATTGCGCGTTACTCTTATCTTAAACATATATTGCACCGTACATTTTATAATGCTTCGGAAATAAGTTCATGTCACGGAACAGAGAACACACACTTTTTTTAAAAGACTTTATCTATACACTTTGTTCACTCTTTTTCAGTTTTAGAAGCATGGGTACTTTCTTTGCACTTGTAGTTCCCCCCCCCATTACTATTTATTTTATTATTATTATTTTATTTTTAGACTA